TTTTTCAGATTCTGCCAATAGCTATTGTGTTAGACATCTCTATCAAAACTTTAAGTTGAGGTTCAAAGGAATGGAGTTAAGAGACCACTTTTGGTTAGTAGCATCTACAGGTAACATACATAACTTCAAGAGGGCAATGGTTGCATTGGAGAGGGCTGATCCGAAACCAGGAAATGTACTTAATGCAGCAGAATGGTTTATGGTCAAGGGCTTACTTTACATACGACTGTAAAGGTGACATTTTAGTCAACAATTTAAATGAATCTTTCAACTACATACTTCCAACAAGGTCACTTGCCATTATCAGCATGTTTGAGTAGATAAAGGAAACTAATGAAGATAATTCAAATTAAGAAGGCTAGAATGGAACAACTTGGAGGTGCTATTAGCCCGAATATTCAAGAAAGACTTGAGAAGAACAGGTGCTCAACTAGGGTTTTTTTTTTCTTAATATTCCCATCCAGGCTAATATGAAGTAGATTGTGGTGTTGATAGGGTTTTTGTGGTAGATTTGAAGAAAAGATCCAGCACATGTGGACTGTTCCAGTCAACAGGAATTCCCTGTTCCCATGGAGTTATAGCTATTCAAACAACCAGATTATCTTCTGAAGATTTTGTTGATAGGTGCTACAGCAAGGACACCTATTTGGCTGTGTATAAATACCACATTTCTCCTATGACATCGATGCATTATTGGGATGGCCACCAGAAGCTGAGCAAATTCTTCCACCATTCGTGAGAAAGCAAGCTGGGAGGCTTAAAAATTTGAGGAGAAGGCAAGCTGATGAAACCACAACCTCATCCACATCTACAAGAAAATGGTTAACTGCTCATTGCAAAAGGTGTTTGAGGCCCGGACATAATTCTAAGAGCTGTAAGCAACCAATTCATCCAAATAGGAAGTTCAATAGAGTATGCACTCATTTTGATATTAATTTCAGTCATTATGTGTTACATTAATTTACTGAATTTGGGTGCATTTTAGGGTCCAATAGGGTCTGTTGTACCTTCAAATGGTGTTGAACAAGAAGTTAACAATGCTGAACATAGAGTTCAAGAAGGATTTGATGTGAGAATTGAAGCTTCAACTACCATACCAACTACAAATGCTGCTAATGTAATTAGTAATCTTGATAGAAAAAAGAAGACCCCACATGCTGGACCCATCCCAGCCTCCTCTTAAGCAAATTTATGAGACAAACATGTACGTGCCTCAGTCCATCTCCCAGGTATTAACTTGATGAAATTTGTATCACATTGGAAACCAAAAAGTTCACTTACCTGAAACTTGTTTGAATGTTTTTTGGTGATGCAACCTGTTGCAAGTGAAGTGAATCAAACCACTTTTCAAGCTACTGACGAAATTGGTGAAACACATTTGGAGTCTAGGAGGACATCAAGGATACCAAAGCCTACCCCAACTGTGTCATCTGTGTTGGCAAATATACGAGCTAACAATGCCAAGATGGCCACAAATGTATGAACTTGGACTGTGTTTTGATGAGAGTGTTTCACTAATTTTGGCTGCTTTTGTTTTCATTGAGATTAGCAATGAAACCATTGCAATGACGATAGAGGTAATCATAAACATCTTTAACATATTCAGATTTGCTTCCAAAACATGCATATGTGCCAAATAATAACCATCTTCCATTTTTTGCCTCTCAATAATTGGACTGTCCATGGAACTGTCTTTGCTCACTATTTCTCTACTTGTGGGATAGGTTCTACTACTTTGTTGCATTTTTTCCTTTATGATACAATCCAAAGAACCCATACTGATTGCTTTCACAAACAAAATATAACAATGCTCTACATGCTTTTTCCGAATCAACAATCTTTAGCACAGCCTTATTGCCACATTCACATTTTGATATTGGTACCTTAAATCCTTGTTGCCTCCATTGCCAGTGCTTGCAGAAGCCAGTTCTTCACCGGCCTTCAATTAATGTGTTAGAAGATGTATTAGACAAAGAAAATTTTGATAAGATGGAAGAACGGTGGCAAATTGGAAATTGTAGGGCTTGCATTCTCTATATACTAATGATAGTGAGGGTTGAGGGTAATTCTGGCCAAAATATGGGAATTTTTCAAGTATATTCATTATTTTCGTAATACTTTTTGTGTGTGTGTCTGCCACTTCACGTGACGAAGGGATGTTTCCGTCTACTTTTCACATTCCACGAAACCATAGGGGGGTTATGTGGTCATATTGAAATTATAGGGGGTTATGTGATCGAGCGTGAAATCGCAAGAAGTAAAAGTAATTTACTCTATTTTGAATCATCCATGCGGTAAAATTAAGCATTGCACTTTTTACACGCAAGATTTAATGAAATTTTTTTTATTAGGAGCAATTGTATTCGAATCCCATTTGCGATTAGAGTGCATTGGTAGGCTATATGTAAGACTTATTTTAAATCGCCCAACCCAAAAGAATAAAAGCTTTTAGCAGACGAACTTCAGTATTATGATGAAATATACCGCTAATTGATGATGGGCACTGGGCAGTTCTCCTGTTTATTAACATATCTAGTCTATGCGGGAATGGGAGGTTTTCAATTGGGTTCTGATAACTGACGTGGCAGGCTTCCATTGGACGATTGGTGGTCGTCGCTTCGTGTGAATTCGCTCGCGTGAATTGGTCGTCCAGCCGATTGTTTTTTTTCTTTGTTTTGCTTGGACGTCTGGCTTGGAAGTCTGCCGCTAAATTCTGGCCCCACGTGCCTTTGGTTTTTTCCTTTTCTTTTTTTTTTTTATTGGATTGGAAGTGCTTTGTTATTGGAAAAAAATGGCAGCTCAATAACAAGCACTTCCAAATGGCATTGCCAGTTATTATACTAACATAACTTGTTATTGGAAGTGCTCGTGCTTGAAAGTGCCATAAAAAAGACGTGCCAGTTATTGGAACTGCTTGTTATTGGACGTCAAAATGGCAGCTTGTTATTGATTCCCCACTATTAATTGTTATTATTTATTTATTATTTTGGCTCCATTTTTTAACCCAATAAATCGCATTTACTTACCAATTTTTACAGTTAATTGTTAATAACTAATTAATAGTGTCGTTTTTTTACCCAACAAATCACGTTTAATTAATAACTTTCTTGCAATTATTAACAAAAAATGAGCTTTGTGTGCTTGTCCAAAAAATCACATTTAATTACCTTTTTTTAAATTTATTAAAAAATGTCCTCTTTACTTTGGGTTGGCCAACAAATCAGGTTTAATTAAATTTTTTGCAATTAATTTCACCGAAATTAAGTTATACTTTCGCAGTTTTATTGCTTGATAAATCACATTACTTACCTGTTTTTATAATTATTAATATTTTTTTTACCCAACAAATCGCTTTTAATTACCAATTCTGTGTAGTTATTAGCCAAAATTTAGCCTCTTTTTTTTGCATGCCAATCAAATCACATTTGGTTTCCTTTTTTAACAATTAATTGTTAATTAATTCATTAATAACGTTACTTTTTTGTTGCCTAACAAATCGCAATTAATTACCAATTTGTTGCAATTAATTGTTATTTAATTAATATGTCTACCTTGCTCCAGCTTCAGAAACGCTTCTCATTAGTCTTTTCTTCTTTGCTTTTGGTGGTCTTAATTAATTGATTCGTAATTAACTATTTTCTAAATTAACATGCTTAATTACAATTCTTTGCAATTAATTTATGGACCATTTGTTTGTAGCCGGATTTTGTTTGTTTGGTTTTGATGCATACTTTCTCGATTTCTTCATCCGCCGCTTCACACTTCTTGTCATCAGCCTCTTTTTGTTGACGGTTGATTGTACCTGAGCTGTTCACTATATTACCCATCCCTTCTGACTGTATTTACGCTTCCACTCAAAAGCTCTTATAGTCTTTTTGTCCTTTACTTGGGTTATGTCTGTAAATCTGCAAAAAAATAACTTTTTCCCGTTGTCAACTATCAGCTCTTTTGCTCCCGTTGATTGACATTGTTTTGTGTATTGCATTTGCACAATGGTTATGCAGTTTCTCTAGCTTTCCACACCAGATTTTCTACTGATCATGATGCAATGGTTATGCAGTTTCTCTGGCTTTCCACACCAGATTTTCTACTGATCATCATCATGATCAGTGGTAACGATGCATCTACTGCTTTCTTTTCCCTATTCTATTGTTCTTCATTTTTCTTTAGCTATTTTGAACCTTCCTTTTTCCCAATTTATTGGTTTGGTTTTAGTTTGCGCTGGTGTTGCCGTTGTTGCTTCCTGGTGAGCATGTTGGTTTTACGCTTCGCTTTCCTTTGTTTTTCTCTAATTCTTCAAATATTTCGGAATTGCTGTCATACTGCTTTGTTTCTTATTTCTTGCTTGCTTCTCTGTTTTTCTCAAGCACTGGTTCGACCATTTTAATTTTTTTCTGTCCCTTCAAAATTATTATCACCGAATCAGCTTCTCTTTTTACTCTCCTGTTTTTTTGTCACCTTTCTTATTATCTTTTACATGATCGTGGTTTCTTTGATAGCTTCAGCTATTATTCAGTTGTGCGGTGTTGGACTTCTTCATACACACTGGTTAGTTATTCTAATTTTGCTTTTCTTTTACCCTTTTCTCTATATTCTATCCTTTAATTTGTACATCCTTGACATGCATTTTCTGATGCATTATTACTTGCATCCTTGACCATCAATTGTTACTTTTTTTGGACCACAATTTTTTGTGTGATCTTGTAGATCGCTCACTATTTTTTCATCTGACTACTCACAGGTTTTATCTTCTCACCTTTGTTTTCCCTTTTTTATGTATAATTTCTTCCTTTTTTGCTTGCCATAACTTTTCTGTATAATTCTTTTTTTTTTTCTTTTGGGAGCCACAAAAAATCTCCCTCGGCCTCTAAAAAGAGGAAATAAAAGGGTGTTCCAAAAAAAAAACAGGCAAGTCTCCTTAACTCGCTAAACATATCACGATCTGTTAATATTTTGTTTTGTTTTCTTATTACCTAGATCGACATGATTTGCATATCTTGAAGACTAATGAAGACTAATGCATATCTTGAAGAAGGAAAGAATAGTTCAGTTTTTGGCAAAATGTTCACTTCAGGTTTGCCTTTGGTTTTTTTTTTCTGGCACTTTTTTGGCTGATCTTTTCTTGGCTAAAAGCAACAAATCACCTTTCTCCCTTCCTTTGTGTCCTTTGCATGTTATGCTTTGGATTTTATTACAAAAGGAATATATTCAACTTGAAAAAGTATTGCATCGGTATGAACTGGATGTGAAATTTTGGAAATGCATTTTAGATGTTTAGTGCTTAATGTTTGGTTATTAATTGGGAAACACAATTTCTTCACTTCATGCTAATCCTTATGCTTTATTGTCATTTTCTTGTTCCTTACTGTGGTCTCACATATCCTATGATAGATTTGATGGTCTAACATATTAATTATTTATGCTCTCTCATAAGTTTCAAATGTTTGTTGTAGCTTGAGATGTTAAGATTTGCGAATTCTTTTCTCAAGGTGAGCATTGTATCGACTCTCTGTCTTTTTCCCATAGAGAAAAGTTAATATGATTTCATTTTTCCTTTTATTTTTCCTAATAAATTTGATTTTTCTGATATTTATTTATACTAAATTTTTGTTAGATGAAGGAACAAAGCAAAAAGGAGGCTAATTTTTCCATTTAGCCTTAATGGTATGTTTTTGATGTTTTAGTGTTCTCTTCAATTTTTTCTTAGCATTTTACTATAATTTTCTGGTCACTTTACCCTATTTACTATTCTTGGAAAAAGTGGAGTATGAAATTTTGTGAAGATACTGCATTTCCTTTTGATTTAGAGTCAGTTTCTTTAGTATTTTACCTATTTTAGTAAATTCATCACTAAGAGGTTGCAAGTCTTCTTTGGCTGCTCCATTCCTTTAAGATCTTTAGTCCAGGTTTAATAGCATTTGTTTTCACCCTATTTCATTTAAAGTTATGATTACTGATGAAATCATTATAAATTTTTTCTCTACTTTGATGGTGTCATTTTTGAATAACTCTTTAGATGTAGTAATTTCTAAGAAAATGATGTACATTGATTGATTGTAGCTTTTGTTACTCGCTGTCCTGTCCCTCCTAATGCTTTCATGTTTGAGTAGTCGGAATGATGTAACTGAAATGGCTAAAAGAACCTTAAGATAAGATCTTTGTATGTAGAAAAAAAATGTTCATGTGCTCCATCCCAGTTGTAAGTTTAAATATTGCCGCCCTAAATTTCTAGCCAAATTGTGTATAGTGGGGAATGATCAATAGGTGGTGATTACTCCTTACTTCTCCACCTTTTCTCAATTAGGCAACTAGAATTTTCTAATACCTTTATGTAAAAAAGAAAATTAAAATCTAAGAATTACATAGAGAATAAATTGCGTTTTAGGATTTAAAAAATAAACTCTAACAAATACCAAACTAATATATTGAAATTTCTCTGTAGCTTTTGCTTGATTTTTTGGAGCTTTTTGTTTTGTCATTGAGCTTTTTAAGAAAGAAGAGAAAATTTTCTTTCAGTTTAAATTGATGTCCTATGTTCATTCATGTTGTCTTGGCGAAAATGTGGCATGAATGAAATATAACTACATGATTTATAGGCTCAAATGCATATGTTGTTTTTGATTTTCTGTTCTTTATTTATACCTAGCATTCATGTTTGAGAAAAAATTGGCTGGCAGGAGGTATTTATCCAAATAAGATGGTGGCTCAAAATGCATCTGCTGTTTATTGGCTTCTATTCTTTATTTATATATCCAACATTAATGTTTGAGAAAAAGTTGAATGGCAAGAGGTATTATTCAAATATATTGGTGGCTCAAACTTAGGAGTAGGGAATGTGTTCTTGACGACTTTGTTTTATATTTCATGCTTTAGTATTTCCTTACAATTTTGCCATGAAGTGTGGCAAAAACTACGGATGCGTTACCTGTGATTTAACAAGATTGTCATTCTACTATTTACACAAAATGTTATTAAATTCTAATATGATTCCTTCTTGGCAGATCTGATTGATATTTAGATAGCTGGAACTTGGAAGCTAATGGAAGCTCATGGAATTTTGTCATGAATGCTTGATACTTTGTTTTATCCTTTCCAATATCTTTACCAAAAGTCATTATTTACTTCAACAGCCACTTGCTATAGTATAGATATCAAACTGTGTGATGATTTTTTTTTTTTTAAATTTTGACCACTAATGCATAGTTCCACTATAATTGGCTGATTGAACGCGACGCTAGATAAGAAAAGACGAGAGGCATTTTTTAGATATAGCAGTCAATATTTCTGGATTAATGTATCTTATATCTTAAATTTTACTTTTCACAGCTAATGAGATACATCATACAGTTGGAGAGCTTATCTCAATTATGTGTGATTATGCTCTTAACTTTATTAGTATTATTTCTTTTCTTAATTGAAATGTTGACAAAATGCTTCATTAGCTACCACATACAGAAAATGATAAAAAATAATTTTTAGTTGGAAAATAAAGCCAATGAGGGCTCTGGTCATATTAACCTTTTAACTTCCTACTGGGCATGTTAAACTTGTAACTTCACACCGCACATAGTGCGGTGTTCCTCTCCTAGTATAGCTAGAATAGAGAACACTTCTGCAAAGTATTTAAAGGCCATTAGCATCAACCTTTAGTGTAGATTATGGAAAGGCTACTCAATCTTAGCTTTTTTTTTTTTTTTTTTTGGCAAAATCTCTCCAATCGACACGAGAATATCAACATCTCAAGGGCGCAGCAGCATCGATTCTAGATTGATTGCTATTTGGCATTGTTTTGTCTTCAATTGAAACAACATTGGTTTGTCTGGATTGGTTTTGAATTTGTTATGGTACAGAAACCAGAGAAGCCAGAGTTTGCAGGAATCAGAAGGAAACAAGCTCAAATAAAGGAAACCAATTAACAATGAATCAATGAAACAGTGAACGAATGAACTTGATCTTTCATTAATTGAATCTTGGAAATCAAAATTACAAGAACAGAAATAATGGATTTAGCTAAGAAGGGGTAAGATCGAAGGAAAAATGGGAGGGAAACTGAGGATTGCTCCTCAAGCTAATTCAGATGAATCTGAAAGAATAATTTCAAAAAGCTAACCAAAATAAAGCAGACAGGCCTGCTTTTAATGTTAACAAATCCTAACAGATTATTAGCTAGACTAATAAGAATAAGACACGTGTCCAATGCATCTGCGAGTTGCCGCGCTTTTGAATTTCTGTTAGAGCAGCTGAATTAAAGAATCACGCCTTCGATGACCTTCTGGTCCAGTGATCACGCCTTCTTCTGCTGACATTCACGCTTCCTTTGTTCCTGCTACCTAGCTCTTGCCCCTGTCTTTAGTTAAGCTCCCATTTCATTACAGAATTTTAAATTACTGGATTGAATCTAAAATTAATGGGATCTATAGGGGCCTTCTTATTGCTATTCAAAAATTTCGGGGTTCACCTTTACCCGAGCTTGTGAAGCAAAGAAAAAAAAAAGAAAAATTTTCTTTTGTAATTCATGGTTTATTTCCCTATCAAGTGTTTGTAGAAATGTCTAAACAAAGAAAAAATGCTCTGTTTGGATTCTTTATTTTTTGAAAAATAAGTTTTTCATATACAATACTACAATAATACATAAACAAAAACAACTATAAAACACCACACTTATATAATATATCAAAAGGAACTCCAAATATACTGTAGACACCAAAATTTTTATAAATCATTTTTATTTTTATTTTTATTTATCTCTATTTTATTTTTCTAAGAAAAATCATTTTTATCTCATTTGATTTTTATTTGATTGATTTTGTAGGAAAATCAAAGAAAGAAGATAAAGGGGATCAAGAAAAACAGCAAAAAAAAAAGAGAAGAAAAGAAGAAGAAAAAAGAAAAAGAAAGAAGAAAAGGCCGTTTTTCTATTAAAAAAAATTTTTTGGCTACAGGCGCGCGCAATTTTCTTCAAGCCAACAAAACCAGCATGCAAGTACGAAGATGCAGCTGGCATTTTTGGAACAAATTTTGGTTCGATTTTTCTGCCTTTTCTTTATTTCCTAAGCATTATCAGTACAATGCACCTCACTCATCAAGAAGTATCAAGAAATTTCTGGAAGATGGATCATCAAATGGCTCAAAATGAGCCAACGAAACCCACCTCATCTCAACCATTGAGAGGAGGATTTTAGGAGCTTTTGTTTCATTTAAATAGGAACAAAACACAGCTTTAGGGCAAGGAGGGTTATGGGAAAAACGGCGGAAGAAGAGAAAAGAAAGAAAGGAAAACAGAGGAGAAAAAGGAAGAGTTCTTCTGCAAAAATCTGGAAAAATGAGCTGGTGAACCAGCTCCATTCCAACCTGACTTTCTCTTTCATTTTACCTCTTTTTAGAGTATTTATTTTTTCTGCACCTTCTAGGGATAGAGAGAAAGAATTTTGTGTGAAACTTTGCCCAGATAATCACCATAATCCCCTCAAATCGAAGCCCGAACTGGGCTCCTCAAATTTTTTTTTGGGCAGAAAATTGAGCCAGGGTTGACGAACCAATCCTGTTCGTCACCCTATTTCCACAAATCCCGACCTCATTTTGAGGATATTATTTTTTCTGAAATATATACAGTGTTAGAGGAGAAACTTTTGTCTTGAAACCGTCCCAAAAAAACATCCCTAAATTCCTTGAATTCGAGCTCCAATGTCCTCGCCTTACAGCTCTTAGCACAACTGTGGCAACCTGGTTTTTGCTCTTTGGGTGAAGTTTGCACGTTTCTTGGAAATTTACACTGCTGTTTTCGACTTCTATAAGCCTCAGAGGTAACCCTCATTCACTTTTCTCTCTTTGCTCCAACTCATTTGCAAGTAAAAGTTCAGAAATCTTGCTCTCTTGGTTCATGATGCATGATCATGTGCTTGTGTTTGGAACTAGAAATCTTGTGTTAATGTTTGAGATTGCATAGCCTCACGTGTTTAGATCCGAAATTTGTTAAATTATTTTGGTAGGGTTTTTGGGTTTGATAAGCTTCCAGATTTGCAGAAAAGCTTCGAACAGCTTGCATGGAGAAAATTGGAAATTGCACTTTTACCTCCTGACTTTTACATAATTATACTAAGGCCCAAAGGTTTGTGAAAAATGGATCAAATTTTCCCTTTTCAACAGGGATGGCAATGGGACGGGGGTGGGGAGGGGACCTTGCCCCCACCCCCCGCTCCGCCCCCGCCCCGTTTCCCCACTGTCCCCCGTTGCCTCAAGTTTCTGCTTTCCTCTACGTCAAACTCAAGACCTCGCTCCTCTTCTTCTTCTTCGAGTTCCCATCTTTAGAAGGATCCCAATTTCAAACTCAGAAATAAACCCCTTGTTGCCAAGTCAGCCCCAAAATCAACTCCTAATTCCGCCAGGCCTAGATCTAATAAATCAATTGCTAACGAAAATGATGTGCCCAAAAAATCGTCTTCACAAAGTTTTAGAAAGAGCCCTTCTTTCCTCTCCCAGTGGCAATCCGCTAGAAGGCCCGCTTCAAAAACTTCTTCCCAAAAGTCGAAACTTTCTTCTGATTTGAGGGCAAATCTGAAGAGCCCAGCATCTGGATGTTCTAGAAGATTTGGTGCTGGTAATCAACAACGATTGAAGCAGAAATATCAACAAAGTTGCGGTGAGCCTAGTTTGCATTTCAATGTTGCTGATGATTTGGTAGACGCTGACAATTTTACTCATGTTGGCAAAGTAGCTAGTGGCCTAGTTTAAATTATGCACTAGTTGTTGATGATGATGAGAAGTCTGCGGGGAAGACTCAAACTCTGGTCATGGTTTGTTATTATGTGCAGAGAGGGTGTGAGAAGTATGGAGGTTCGTTTCTTCGTTTGTTCTTTTGTTATTTGTGTGTGTGTGTATATATAATATGTATGTATATTTTTTGCGGGGAACAGGGCGGGGTTGGGGTGGGGAATGTATCCCCGTCCCCCGCCCCGTTTCTAAACGGGGGAATAAAATTACCCGCCCCCGCCCCAACCACCGCCTCGACAGTCCCCCGAGGGGCAGGTGACCGGCCCATTGTCATCCCTACTTTTCAAGCCTTGACTTTGTTGCACATTTTATGTAATGTTTTGAGTAAATTATTTCTGGGTTTTAGGGTGGGATTAAGGCCTAAATAATTTTGTTGAATTTATTTTCCTAAAAGGACATGTTCTCTCTCTGGGTTTAGGAAAACAATTTAATAGTTGGGCTAGGGTTATTTGTTGCGTTTTGGAGAGTGGATTTGCCTTCATTTTCTTTGGGTAAAGACATGGGCTTTGGTAGTTAAAGCCCAACCCTTTTTGGTTGATTTTGCTTAATCAGAAACGGGCTAGCCCCTTCTTTTTATGGGTTCTCCATTGGGCCAAAGGCAAGTTTGGCTCACGAAAATAATCAGAAATGGCCCAGTGACCTTGTTGCTTAACAAACCAGAAACGTATTTACAATTAGGTCCCTTTTCTTTTGCATAATTCTATTGTGACCCTGAAACTTTGGATTTCTTTCAATTAGGTTCTTAATTTAATTTCAATTTGGTCCCTAAATTTTATCTTTGATTAATTTTGACCTCTAATCTTCATAATAATTTTAATTTGATCCTAAAAACTTTTTAATTATTATAATTAGGTCCCTAATAGCTTTGATTTCTTAAGTATAATTTGTTTATCTCCTTTAATTGTTAATCATGTTTCATTTAAATGCATTTAATTTGTAAATTTTAGGGATTCTATGTTTGTTCATATTTTCTTATTATAGTAAAAGTGAATTTGATACATGTTTACATTTTCTTTTTAATTGTTAATTAAATTGGTGTCTTGACTATTTTGTTGATTTTGAAATATAAATAGGGCAAGTTCCACCTTATTTAACTACTACTTCAAGGGAGGTACCTTCTATTATTATTTTAAATTCTTTTATGTGCTCCTATGTGTTTTTTTATGTGTGATTGCATGTTTTGAGTGCTTTTTCTTTTATTTACTCATTTTATTCATTTTAAATTTTTATTTGTTCTATTTAATTTTGATGATTATTTGGGAAGCATTTAAATGTCAAATTGTAATAGATAGTTGCCCAAAAAATGTATTTAGTTAGGCTATGTAATAGGTAGATTTTATATTTATCAAAAATGTAATTAGTTAGATAAATGTAATAGATAGGTTTATTA